GGCAGAGGACCGGGCACAGTCCTCGGCAGGGGGGTGCTAGTAATGTTGATGCTTCGGATCAGGGCTTCGAGGGCACCCGCATGGGACACACAGGGTGGGCAGAAGCTGAAGAAGAAGCTCAACATGGACGGGGGAGGAAAAGGGGCACACCCACCCCCCACACACCACCCAAATCAGCCGCAAAAATGACGGTCGGTCAAAATGGGCCAAAATAGGGTGCGAAATGGTTTAAGATAGGTTTAATTCAGCCAAAATCCCTACAGCGAAAATCGCGGTAGCTAAATACCGACATCCCGTAATCCTGATCGCTCAAAATGCAGACGGCCATAATGCCGATTGTCATAAAGCTGACATCTCAAAATACCGACAGCCAAAATGCCGACAGCCGTAATGCCGATTGTCATAAGCTGACGTCTCAAAATGCAGACAGCCAAAAGCCGGCAGCAAAATCCCGACAAACCGAAATGCCGATAGACCAAAATACCTACAGGTCAAAATGCCGACAACCACAATCCCGACCAAAAATCGCAATATATTCGTGACGCTAGCTTGACCTCCACTTCTGTTTAAACAGTTGGTTGCATATCGGGATTTTGGTTCGGTGTTTTGCCCTGTCGGTATTTTGGCATGTCGGTATATTGGTATTTCGGGATTATGGTTGTCGGAACTTTGGCCTGTCGGCACTTCGACCTGTCGGGATTTTGAGTGGCAAGAAAATGTATCAACACCGACCGGAATTTAAATTTTATTGGATTTTTTAAGATATTTTTCTCGGCTTCTAGCAATCAAAAAATACTAAAAAATACAATACAAATCCATCACACACTATTAACAGGTATTTATAGGCGGAAAAATAGAAATTAGCTTCCCCCGCTAACAGATCAGTACCTAATTCGTAAAAAAATAGGAAAAGAGTAAGAAATTTCGGTATTTGGGATCCAAACTTGGTGAGAGCTAAATTCGGCATTTTCAGCAAATGGCAAGCTAGCAAGGATTCTTTTAGGGTACAAAACAATACAAACTACACCAATTGACACACCTGGAATGACATGCACCATCCGCCTGACAACCATTACTTGATGCCTCGCATGGTTTGGGTGTTCTTTCGACGGATTCGAACTGTTCAAAAACCCATTACGCCGAAAAAACCTCCAAAACCTGGCCCGCAATACGCGACGCTCGCTGTGGACTACTGTAGCCGTCCTCCTTGGCCCTGTCTCGCCCAGATACACCTCCCGAGAAGCCGATTTCAACCCCAAATATGGATTGTCCATAGTGGATTCGCAAAAATAATCTAGGAATCTAGACAAGTCGTAGCGCTCCTCTCGAATTTGTCATATATACGGGCAAATACGAACGACGACGGCGACGACCCGAAAAAGGCGTGTCACCCCCTTCTTCTCTCTCTCTCTACGATGCGACGATACACACATGAATGAACAACCCCCATCAGCACCACACAACCACTTCACATTTTTGACACCACGGGGCTAGGTAACTAGTTATGAAAAAAAGCGATGGTGATGAGCCGGAACAGCGTTTCCCATCGTTATCTCAAATTTTCAAAATCTTCAGGTACTTTTCCATTATCGGGGGTACCCAATTTCTGGGTATCAAATATAACTGCTTTAAGGGATAAATATCAGGTTGGAACGAAAGTCCTGTCGCCGAGATTTTGGAAAGCTTGCTAAATTCGTAGATAGCTCCATTATGCACAGCAGTATGCAGCTTTGTGGTTCCGGCCGAAGGTCGAGCCCTAGAATCTGGCCCGATACAGGCCCAAGAAGATTTTCAAAAATTACGAGAGTGTTTTTGCAAGTTATCTCTGCATCGAGACATTTGCATGCGATACCTTTAACGCCAATCGATAGCTCTCGAGGAGTAGATATCGATAGATGTTGAGATCATCAAAATTGGACACTGGATGGCCGAGATATGGGCCCTTGAAATTTCCCATACGTTTTTCCAAAATCCGCTCCGCTAGTCCAAAAATAAAGCGGTGATTTTTGGCACCTGTCCGTCAAATTTTTGGAAATGTATGGGAAATCGAGAAAAGTTCTAAGAAATGGGCCAAATTTCAAGGGCCCATATCTCGGCCATTCAGTGTCCAATTTTGATGATCTCAACATCTATCGATATCTACTCCTCGAGAGCTATCGATTGGCGTTAAAAGTATCGCATGCAAATGTCTCGATGCAGAGATAACTTGCAAAAACACTTTCTCGTAATTTTTGAAAAGTCTTCTTGGGCCTGTATCTCGGCAGTTCTTGATTTTGAGGGCCCAGGACCCTCCTCCCGGAACCATTCAGCCCAAGAGCTACAAAATGACATATCGCATGTGCATAATGGAGCTATCTACGAATTTAGCAAGCTTTCCAAAATCTCGGCGACAGGACTTTCGTTCCAACCTGATAATCCAAAAACTAGATATTTTCATGTAAAATCTATGTTTTTTTTTGTTTTTGATAAAATTTTGTAAACTATCTGTTTTTTTTAAACCAAAAACTGCTACTTAGAAAATAGCTTAAAAGACCCTACAAGCTGCTTACAATTAGAAAACTACCGTACGGTAATACTGAGAAAAGTTCGTTAACTACCCCCCTCCCGCTAACAGTCCAGTACCATGTAGAAAATATGTAAAATATTGGAAAAGGGAAACTATCAAAAAGAAGATCGACACTTGTCGCGTGTACGTCCGTACGTAAAAACGTACGAATGTAAAAAGGAGCCCAACGTAGTGAAATGTACGAAAAAGCGCAGACACATTACAAAAGTTAATAATACGATTTAGGCGTTCATTTGCCATTTTTAAAGACAATTTAAGGACCCTAAAATTTTGCGGTTTTTCTCGCAATTTTTGATAACCCACGTCGTTTCGGCGGTCTCAAAACGGCTCGATAGTCGATGCGGGCCATGACTTCTTATAGGGATAAGAATATTGGCCCTAAAGGGACTGGGAAGGGTCCATAGATATGGATTATCCACCGAGGATGTAGATGGGGAATGAATGGGCCATTTGGACAGCAGTCGGGCCGGCTAGAAAGCGTGAAACAAGTGGGGGGCAAACACTTTCTGCTTCTTCTTTTTGCTGATCTCGTCCTCTCCAGAAAAACCTCGGCAAGGGGCAACCGGTCAAACAATCAGAGATAAACTGGGATTTCGACACTTTTTCAAAAGTTACAAAATAATAAATAGACCAAAAATACCGATTTTCGATTAAAATTAAACTTTTAAACCTTTTCCAATTTTTTTAGAATTTTTTTATGATCCCAGAATGCATAGTGAATTAATAATAAGGATTTTAATAGTATTTTTGGTAAATTTAAACGGATTTAAAGCAGAAAAACCATTGAAAAACTTACAAAAATCTTCACAATTCGATTTTTGGTCGGAAAATCGATTTTTTGTGTGCTTTTTTTAAAGTTTTTGCGTGTAGAAACAACAAAAAACAGTTTAGAAATTCTTGCTAGATCTGATATTGCGAAATTTGGATAATAAAAGGAAAATTACGTTCTTTGGCATTGTCGGGGGGAGCTTAGCGGGGAAAACCCCTTTATAAGTATGGTTCGGTTAATAAAAACTATAATACTAATAGCAACCAGGGTTGAAAAGCCGCTTCGCGACTTTTCAACCCTGGCCCCGTCTAACCCTATGATGTTGTTTTTGCATAATTCTGCCCCAATTCCGATGACAAAAATTAAAAAACGCTGCTTTTGAGCCTTTATATAGGCTACCGCGACTTCCGGCGTATGCTAATTTTATCCTAACAAAGTGGGTGTCGGAATTTTCAAGAAAAACTTAATTTTAATGTCGAAAACACCATATTTTACAAAATCCGATATGTGTGCAGTCATCTCCAGCCCCTTATGCATCTAATGACGTATCAAACACCTCCTCAAACCCATCCCCTCTCGAGCTATCCTCTGGGCACCCTGACGGAAGTTGCATGCAAATGCACACACACACACACAAACACTATTTTTTTATATATAGTAGGATAAAATATATAATAAAAATAAGGTCAATAATGGAATATATACTTCAAAACTATAGCAAAAATTAGGTAAAAAAACTAGGTTTTAAAAATAATTACCAGCTGTAATCCGGCGCAGCACCAACTCGACCATGATACAATAAAAATAGACGGAGAAATATCTACGAAAAATGACTAATAGCCTATGAGCTAGCGGAAGAAAGATGGGCGAAGTTTGTTTGTGGAAAGAAGGAGGGGTGGGGGCCATTGGAAAGACCCCGAAGTTGGGCCCTATTCAAGGAACTAGATCACCAATGAATAGGGCGCCCCAACGGCTGGCAATATTCCAACACCCCAGCCCCAACCAAAGGACTGTTAAAAGACGATAATGGGGCAGGCTAGCAGAGCGCATTTGGGAAATTTAAAAAATGGTTCTGGTGCATTATCGGGGGGGACAAGGAACACCGGAAGCGGAAGCCTTCTTGTACATATAATCCAACCCACCCCGATAATGAACAAGATTTTGAAAAATGGTGCTGGTTCGTTATCGGGGGAGGGGTGTTTCATGCATTTCTCGTCCCCCCCCCCCTGATAACGAACCAGAACCTAAAAACCCACCGGTCAGCTCGATGACGCGTCGCTCACAAGCTGGTCGTAGTCGGGTCGAGCGTCGCAGCCAACTAAAATGCAACGTTTTGGTACTGTTCTGTTAGTGGGGGTATTTTTTTAATACCTGAGCAGGCCTACCCAATGCAGATTTTTGTGCTGATTCCAAATCTAGGTTCCATTTTTGCTAAATCGCGATTGATAAGAAGTTATGGAGGCTTCTATTGTCAAAACATGCGGTAGAGTTTCGCTGTTGACCCTAAAAGTCGTCCCAACTTTTCAAACACTGCAATTTCGCAAAAATCGCGCACATAGACGGGATCAGCAAAAAATTCTGCACACGATAGGCCTTTTTCCGTAATGAAACGACAACGGCATTCCGTCAAACTTTTAAGAACATGGCTAGGCTCCAAAAAGCTTACTCGTTGGTGAACGTCAATTCCGAGTCACCCCTCAATACGACAGTGTGCTCACGTTCTGGTGATCTCTTTTGAAGCTCACCATCCACCTGGTAAAACCTAAAAAATTAACGTAAACTTAATAACCACAAAAAAAATACCTATAAAACCCTTCTCCGCCCCGTTCCTCCTCGTGGATCACAAATTTTCGATGGTCTTTCTGTTCTTGTTGCTTTTCCTCGGTTCTAAGCTTTGATTTTCAAAATACAAATAGTTTTCACCGATTTTCCCGGGTTTTCGTCCGCCGAATTGAGGCGCCGTACGCTGAAGATCGCATTTTGCCCTGAAAGAGATTTTTGGAAGAGTTAATACGTATAATTTATGTATAAGCATTAACATTATAGAATTAACAATCTATCTTGAAATCAAAAATTTTTAAAATTATAAAATGTGTTTTTAAAAATTACCTCGGTTCCGTTTTGTATTCCAGTGGCGGTCCCACGCGATATCGACCCTAAAAAGTGACCGAAATACTGTAGAAAAATCATAGTTTAGTGTTAAAAACAAGTATAGACCAAAAATAATAGCCTAAAGCTATATCTAAACGGAATAGAAAAAATTTCACGCTTTTCTGCTATCTCGTTATACCCCGAAAAACGTACCGTATCCATTGGGAGGTCGTCCATTTCTTGTTTGATACGCTGAAGATGTGTTTTCTGAACAAAAATTAAATTTTAAAGACTTTTTGAGGGTGAAAAAAGTAAAAAAATTAATTTTTAGAAATTGGAAAATGCTGTAAGACGACATATTCTTTTTTAGTTATCGTAATACTGTCTACGCCAAGCTCAGTCTAATCTACGCCTAAGCGAAGCCTAACCGAAGCCTAAACGAAGCCAAAGCATACCTAAAAGATCCGTTTCAACGCCGCTTGACGTGGATGTGGTCGGCTGGGAGTTGGCTGACTAGAAATCACGTGAATTTTTAACCATAATTATTTTTATTATGAATTGGACAGCCGGGTCTAAAACCCTCGCAAGATAGCCGGCATTTCCAGTAAATCAACACAAAAAGGTACCATGTAACTATGGCGGCTCCGGTCAGTCCGCCGGAAGTCAGACTGCTGATCTGTGTGTTCGACCCGGGATTTCTTCCAGAATTGGACGTCTGATGTGAGGAATGAGAGGTAGCGCACCATTCTGGCACCCTAAAGAATCGATATCCAGAGTGAAAAATATAGCTGAAATTATTTCAAACGTAAAACTTTGAAAAGCACAAAACGAAAAATATTAATGGATGATAAAAAGAGTATACTTTACGTCAGAATACTATGAAATCGATAGACACCAGTAATGCTAGAGGGTAAAACGGTGGCTAGAGGGGAAATCAGGCGTGCAGTCGGGGAGGCAATAGCCATTCCGCCACACATCAAAACAACAGTTAGGTACCGTCAAACAATCTATTATATAAACCCCCAAGGGCATACGCAGATACCAATATTTACCCACAGCAACAACGGGTTGAAAATGAGCTTTTCGGGGAGGGCTAGCAGAAATTATTGGGAAATTTGGAGAAAACAAAGCGAGGCAGGCTAGCATGCATTATTAGGGAACTGTGATAAACAATATAAAAAGATAATAGCACACATTATTCCCGACTCGAGAATGACAGTAAGTAAAAAGGCAAACTAGCAGTGATTCCTGGCGAAATTTAAGAAATAGCGAGAAGGCAGGCCAGCACGGATTATTGGGGAATTTCGAAAAATTATTCAAAAGAGGCAAGCTAGCAGGGTCTCTTTGCGAAATTTTACAAATCTGGCGACCCAGATTAGCAGAGACTATTCAGGATTTAGAAAATGGAAGTAAGGGATGCAGGCTAGCAGGGATGCTTAGAAAAATTGTGGAGCTGATTTTAGTGGCATGCTAGCAGAGGTTATTGAAGATTTTCAGAAAAAGCATGGAGGCAGGCTAGCAACCTTTCTTTTGGAATTCGAAAGTATCCAGAATTTTTCTTAATTGAGCTAGGTTGAGTTAGCAGCGATTCTTTAGGAATTTGCAATAAGAGATAAGGCCAGCTGGCAGTAATTCTTTAGGAATTCAGAAATTCAGCATATTCAGAAGGCAAACGAGCAGTGACCCTTGGGGAATTGTCGAAAAAAAATTGCAAACTTGCATACTTAGGAATTCAAAAAAACATCAAAAAATGTGGTAACGAGGTTTTAAGCCGAGAATTACTTGAAGGGAAGCTAGCAGCGATTATTTAGGAACTCAGCAAGCTAGCAAAGATTCTTTAACATCCGTTCTAGCCTCCGGGCTGGCATCAAGCGCTGGCCGGAAGTGTGAATATTCCTGTGGGTGAGTGCCGAGTTGTATACAGCGAGAGAGAGAGAGAGAGAGAGAGAGAAAGAGAGAGAGAGAGAGATTCCATAGGTTCCACCGTTGAGGGCCGATCCGAAAATGGGGCTGGGAGGGCAGTGAGGGACGGTCCATAATAGCCGGTAGCTAGCTAGTGCTCTCTCTACTCTCTACTCTACAACTTTGTGCCCCAATTTCCAACTCTCTGCTTCTCTCTGCTTCTCTCTCTCTCTCTATTTCTCTCTCTCTCTCAGCTTATTATCCCCGCCTGGGGGCTGTCCAATCGGAATGGGCATGATTTAGCGGGCCCAGCTTTTCGGGATTTATCGGCATTCGGGGGTAAAATCCATTTTTTCCAGGTCAAGCCCTCGGTCAGACAGTCCGACAGTCAAGTGGCTGGCAATAAAAAGAAGTGGACTGTTTTGAGGTTCTTTTAAAGGGACTGTGAGGCCTAGCAAAGATTCTTTGGGAAATGGCAAACCTAAAATGTAGCTTGAGGAACAGACGAGCCAGCAGAGGAAGGCTAGCAGAGATACTTTAGCAAAAGGCAGAGACAATTTAGGACACGGCAGTCTAGCAGAGATTATTTGTCCTCCTAAATCTCTATTGAAGGCTAGTTGCCACTTATAGAGATTGTTATCAACTGCCAGTCGCGCTATTGTGTGGATTAGGAGGATTGGTAAGGTTGAAGGTCGACTAGCGTCGCTCCCAGGTTACGAAGAAAAGGCTAGCAGAGATTCATTAGAAAACGCCAGGCTAGCAGAGATTCTTGAAGACAAGGCAGGTTAGCAAAGATTCATTATCAGAGGGTAGGCTGACGGAGATTCTGTAGGAAAAGGTGGGCTAGCAGAGTTTCTTCAGGAAACGGCAGTTTAGCAGAGATTCCTGAGGAAAGGGCAGGGTAAGGCTACTTTTTTCAGATCAGGAAAACTAGCAGAGATTCTTTAGGAAAAGCCAGAAGGTACGGCCGATGCCATAGGCTTTATAAAATGCCCCGCGGCATTGGGAGAATGTTGCGCCTTCCGGCAAACAGCAAATATCATAAGCGCGGTCCGACAAACAAATATACACCCCGCTGACACACACGGAGGTGTCAAAATTGGCGCCTCCAGCCTTTCCCACCCCCTATTGGCCCCCCTGATAAGCCGATAAGTGATCGCTACGCCACGCTACTCAGCATGGAAGAAAAAAACCTTTTTGAAAAAGGCCAAAAATGAGGTAATTAGAAGGCGTAAAAAGTCGTGGATTAATTCTTTTATTGCTATTGCTATTGCTACTTAGAATTTAGAAAGGCTGGAAAAACTTAGAATCAGTCCCTCTCACTCTCGGTCTCTCTCTCTCACTCTCTCTCTCTCTCTCTCTCTCTCTCTCTATCTCCCTCTCTCGTGTTCTTTCCGTACAGCTACTTAGTGTTTTTACGGCTGGCGTTTAGAATGGGACAATATCTTGTGAAGATTTTCGCGATTCTCGGTTTTAAATTTGCACCACCTTCATTTAAATGTTATTCGTTATAAAAAAAAAAATAAAATCTGGTTGTTTGCGTTATTTTGGTTTCACCTCCCTTAAAAACGTCGGTAATGGTTTTAGAGGACGATTTTATCAAAAATTCATGTGTTTTTGCAAAAAAAAAAAATTGTGAGGGGGGGATCAGGCCGCCGGAAAGGACCAATACATGGTGCATGGAAGGGGGGGGGGGTAATAAGGGGAGGAGGGGGGGTTTTTTATTTACCAACTTTACGCGAGTCCAAATTTGAAAAGGGTTCGGAATCAAAAATTGAAAAGACCTAAACCAGCCTGAAACTTTGTAAGCCATTTATTTCCTCTCATAAATCTCATGATATCCCGGCTTCATGGAGCACAAAATCCAGCGGCACGTCGGTCTCATCTACTGGCACCGAGTCAATCACCTAAAATTTAAGTTTTTACAAAACTATACTATGAACGTACCTGCTCATTTAGGGCCAACCCAATCTTAACAGGTTGCTTCCCAAAACGCTGTTCATGATCAGATAGCCAGCGGTCGTAGTAGCCCTAAAACTAAATAATTATCGCTTTTTCGAAAAAATCAGTTCCTAAAGGATCTCTGCTGGTTGACTCGTTTTTTTTGGGTCCAGCCCAACAATTATCCGGCTAATCCATTAAGGAGGCGGAGAAGGCATGGCTATGGAATCCATATGAGTTTTTAAACGCTCTGTTGGGCCCGAAAATCCATAGCCATGTCTTGACCGTCCCTTTAAAGCTCGCACTCACCATTCCATGGCCTAATCGGTGTCCATATTTTGTAAAAGCCACCCCGGGAGTGAGCACGAGATCGAGGGCTCCTGGAAATTAAGCCGTTATCTTGTCGTAATCGATTAAACCGACCTGTCTCGATGTATTCCTCTGCCTCGCTATTTTGTGGGTGTTGTCTAATATTCCATAGCGTAGCGTCGAGATTCTAAACTTGTATTTTTATCAAAATTTTTTTATTTATTTGTAAGATTAGACTAAGTATAATTTTACTATTAGAAGTTAATTAAGCAACAACATTAAACAAACTGAAATGCTGTACCTGAAATTCTGCTAAATCCTTCAGCCGCAACATGCGCATCGTCGGGCATTTTCGTATAAACTTAATACAAAAATTTACTTAAAATAACGTAGTAAGTCAACAGAAATAAGTTGGCCCTTAATAGAAAGCAATAAAATTAATGTAGAAGCAATTTTTTGAAGCCACTTACATGTGGGATAAAGATATCTTTCCCGTCTTGCAAACATTTTTGAATGATCTCATCGCTAACTATCTAAAAATTAATTAAAATCTTTTACGCGCATCTTCAAAACGCTAAAAATCGCGTACCTCGTTTGCGGTGTTCACATACACCGAAACCCTACGCGCCGCTACGAATTCCGGCTTTTTGACGAGCGCCAAAAATACCGAACGGCTCTGGCGGGCAATTTCTTCCTCGGGGAGTTTTGAGAGTTTAGCGGCGATCTCTTTGCGAAGCTGAAAAAGGATTTTACTTTTTTTTACAACTTTTTAGATTTAGGCAAGCGCAAAACCAAAAAAAACGGCATCACGCGCACGCGACACGCAACGCGTAGGCGCGCATTTGCATAACGTAATTCGTTAGGACGCGCTCAGTCGGCGATCCGCTCGCGTTGCGTGTCGCGGGATCATAAAACCATAAGGTAGCCATATCCAGGCCTTCGCCGTCCTTTTAAAGGGACGAGCAATGCAAAACTATGGATTTTCTGGCTCGTCTGCACGGCCGCAGCACGCAACGCAGCTTGGCCGCTCTGCAAGGCCTGCTGTTACGCAATGGACATACGGGGATGCACGTTGCTTGTCGCGCGAAAATTCATAGCGAATCCATAGCTTTGATCTTAGCCGTGAATTTTTAAAGCCAATCCAGATTTACTAAAACAAATAGCACCAATAAATATTAGAAACCAAAAAATTTTTGTGTTTTTAGAAAATTAAAAAACTTAGAATTTTCCGTTGTCCCAATCCCTTAAAAATTACCTGAGCTTTAGCAGCACTCAACGGGGTTAACGCCTTTGAAGAGGACATTAGAATTCGAGCGGAAAGTCTGGAACTATCGAGGTGTAAAACGGGGGGAAAAGGACAAACTCCGCCCGGCTACAAAGAACACCGCGCAGATGGCCAAGAATTGATAGGGATTGCGGCGGGGCTGATAATGGACAGAGATTGGTAAACAATATTTGCTCGACTTTTGGAGGGCATTTCCGGGAAATTCCGGAATTGGTGGTTTTCCGGATATAGCCGGAAAGGGATAGAAAAACCATGTGATGGTAGGGGAATATCCTCAAAAATAAATATTTGGAAAATATTGTCGAAAATCGCAAATTTCTGGTCGAAAAATCGTTGTTTTTTTGTATTTTTTTGATAAAAATTTTGTACTTTTTACCTTGAGAATAGTTAAAAACAGTTTAGACTTCCTATTTATTAGAAAGATTGGATCCTAAGGACAAAGCTCCCCCCCCGATAATGCAAAAGCACCCCTGATTTCCTCTGCCAGCCCGCATTATTCTGAATATTTGCATCCATTCCCCCATGGCGGTCTTTGCAAAAGCCCCCGATTACCGTACCCCAACCCCGACCGGAAGTACGCAACTTTCCGCGGTCCTTCTTCTCCAAGCCGGATGGGCCATTTGAGAGAAAAGGGCCGTCCGACACGCGTCAATATAATGAGCTGTATAATGTATGGCTGCGGAATGGTCGGGGGGCCCTCCATCCGTCCCCGACAAATTCCATTCCATTCCATTCCACTTACAAATTGGGGGCTTCTCGAATTCCGGTCACCAGTCTGTAGCGTGCCCCAAGGAATATAATATCGCCTGTAATTCTTTGATTTTATGGCGATACGGTAGCTACCGTACACTGAAGATACAGTAAATTTTTCAGTTCCATGAGGTTACGGTAGTTACGGTACCTCTTTGATATTCGTTAGGTTACGGTAGTTATTGTAATTTTTTGACCATTTGGAGGATTGCGGTAGCTACAGTACTCTGTCTTGTCGTTATATCTTCTTCAGTTCCATGAAGTTACGGTAGTCACGATATTCTTTGATTTTCTTCGGGTTACGGTAGTTCCGGTATACATTGATTTTTTCGTGTTGTGGTAGCTACAGTACTACGAGAAATCGTATTCCTTTTTCGCTGAGTTTGCTGTATTCCTTTATTTTTAGTTATGGGGTTACGGTAGCCGCTGTATTTTTGACTTTGGGCTACGGTAGTTTGGGTTTCCACTTTTTGGGCTAGGGTAGTTGCATTATTTCTTGCATTTTATTCGGTATACGGTGGGATACCCCCGCTTACCGTAACCCTTCCGTCATAATCCGGGCCAAATTCGGTGGTTTCCGGTGGGGATTGGAGGTTAAAGTAAATTTAGAAAATTCGGTAGTAGCAGCACCGGAATCCTGTCGATTTTGCAGAAAATAGCTGCAAAAAATTTCTCCGATATCTGAGAAAAGACTGCTAGCCTTTCCCAGGCTTCTTCGGTTCGGTCCGACCCACAATTTGCTGAAGTTTCCTCAACAATCTCTGCTAGCCTTCCCCAAAATTCTCTCTTTTCCTGAAAGATCCCTGCTAGCTCACCCCTTCCATCCCCCTTAAACGGCCATCTGTTGTGGATACGGTCATATTGTTTGATGAAGTATTCGCCCATAGGGGGTACCTGAAGGATCGATGGGGGGTGGTCTGTCTGTCTGCCCTCTCTCCCTCCCCTCACTCTCTCTGTCTCGTCTGCGCTCTCTCAAGCGAGAGAGTATGGGGGCTCTTGACAGAGAGAGACAGAGAAGAGAGACACGCGATGTACTCTCCCACCCACCAACCCTCCTCCCCTCCAAATGACCACCTTCTTCTTCTTCCTCCTTCATATATCATTAGATATTCTTGGGTATCTGTATTGATCCGTTTTCGGGCTTGGTTTGGCTTGCTTAGCCTAGCTTGTTTGGCTTAGCTTACGTTTTCTAAACTACTCGACACTATGATCGATTACGCTATCAATTTTATACTATCCTACCTGGCATAAACTACGGAATTCCGATCTTTTTTCGAGCTTGGCTTACTTCTCCTAGGCTCCACAACCATTCCAACCAGTCACGTCAGGTTCTTAAAAGCGGCTGAGCTTGGCTTTCCATTACTTGGCTTAAGTTTTCTAAGCTCCCCAAGCCTTGCGGTCGTTTACACTAGGGTTTTTGTCCAAATATGTACCTGCCGTAAGCTTTTTAATTTCCCAATTTTTACTTGGCGCGGGATTTGTAAATGTAAATTCCGCGGATTACGACTTTGGGGCCGGCTTGGTTTGGCTCCGGGTTAGCTTAAGTTTTAGAAGCTAAGCAGGAAAGCTTAGCCTTATCATAAGTCTAAGCCTAAGCCTAAGCCTACGACCAAGCCCAAGCCTAAGAAAGGCGGCACAATTTATCGGAATAGTTTCTGACCTTCTCACGAAATTTTTCTGCTTTATTTGATGGATTCACACGGCTTTCAAAATTGCTTACGACCCGAAATTGTACTCATTTTCTTCTAGAACTATAAAAGATGGTTTCAAATTTTACTAATTTAATTTTCTATGCGAAATTTAATTCATATTTATTATATTTTTCTTTCTCCTTACTCGACTTTCCGATTGCATCATTTTATCTTTGAACCTGCCAGTCTTTTGCTGGCCATCTTTCTATGCCCTTATCGCGCATCACCAATCAGCCGCCGCCAAATTTTTCCCGCGCCTCACGTTTTCCTGCTGTTGATTTCAATCTAATACTTATTTTATTCTAAAACTTTAAAAGCCATTTTTAAGCTCTTGAATTCGCCGAAACAACGCTCACTGCCAAATCGGGGCTTTTGTGCCAAATATCCGAATCAGGACGGATGATGGGTGACCCGTATATGGACCATTGGCCCACCGGCTCGGGGTAAGTATTTAGTCTTGGCGGAAAACCGGGATCAAATTTAAGCTGGGTGCTTTGGCATTATCGGGGGGGAACGTAGATTTTTCTATGAGCCCAGAAATGCTTAGCAATCGTTTCTCAAGGTTTTAATAATATTTTTAGTAAAATTTAACTATATTTACAGTGGAAAACTATCTAAAAGAGCTTAAAACTTTTGAAATTCCTGTCGAAATCGGCCGTTTTTGTAATTTTTGTATTTTTGTAAATTTTGAAGGTTTACGAATAGAAACACTTCCTCTAGTTATTACAACAATTGGATTCTAAGGAAGATCTCCACCCCCCGATAATGCAAAAGCACCGGAAAGCGGGCAGAGATACCTGAAAATGGCTAAATTCTGGGGCCCCATGATTCATACCAACCAACTGTCCAAAAGGGGAAGACAGTGTTGGGTAGTATTTCCCCGTTCTCCCCTGTGGCTAATGTTTGTCTATAGAATCGAAGTGGACTGGCTGAGTTTGGGGTGGGGGGAGGGGGGATCGGGGTCGAGTAGGCTGTGACACCCACACAGCCTATACGCCCCGGGGGTCGAGAAATACAGCGTAGATTGCATTGCAATTGGCAAGAAAACAGACTTAAATGAGGGCAAAATATTTTAAAATAAATGAATTAGTTTATTTTAAATCGTTTAAATCGGTAGTTTCAGGATGAGCTACGGTGAGGACGAGGATCTGGGCGTTTCCGCTGGGAAATATGCCCGTATGGAAGGGCTAGAAGGGGAAAGCCACGAAAAGGAACGATTCGCAAGGGAAAACCATTCCGAGGTAATATTTTTTAATGAAATTTATCGCTATTTGAAGAGAAAACTATCTAAGAGGGCGAGGAAAGAGAGCGAGCGTGAGAGAGAGAGAGAGAGATTGTGTGAGCGCGAGCGTGAGAGAGTGGAGAGAGAGGAATGAGATGGGAGAGAGGGGAGGGGAGTTGGTGAGTGAGCGTGAGAGGGCGTGTGAGAGTGAGAGAGAGAGAGAGTGAGCGCGAGCGTGAGAGAGAGTTGGAGAGAGGGAGGAAGTGGGTGAGCATGAGCGTGAGAGAGCGAGAGAGAGTGAGCGGAGCGTGAGAGAGGGGAGAGAGGGCGAGAGGGAGAGGGAGAGAGTAGTAGAGCATGAGCGTGAGAGGGCGTGGAGAGCGTGAGAGGTGAGCGCGAGCGTGAGAGAGAGTGGGAGAGAGGGAGAGAGTGGGTGAGCATGAGCGTAGAGAGAGCGTAATAGAGCGAGAGCTAGAAAAAGAGAAAGGAGTATGAGCGCGGGTGGGGAGCGTGAG